GCGGTCCCTCCCCCCCCGAGACGCCAGCTCGGACCGCGTGGCTGTGGAGCACTGAACTCTGAGACTCGCCGAGGGTGACGTCCCAGGTTCCTCTCGCTCAGATGACTGTCCCCTTTCTCTCCTGCGGGGCACTCCCCACTGTAATTTCCAATTTCCCACGTCAGAACTCCCCTCTGGGAATCGCCTCTGCTCCTCGACACTACACCGCCTCCCTCACCGACGACCAGGATCCCGCCCCGCTCCGCAGTGAGCCGGGCGGGCAGGGCGGAGGCGGCCCCGCAGGCTGCTGTGACCGCACATGAGCTAGACACGCAGAGATGCTTAGGACCCATGTGGTCTGGACACACGAGTTCATGTTAATATCTAGAACCGCACCTGGGAAACCATTCCTCTGGCTTCACTGCTGTGTATTTTATTTCCAAAAAGTACCAAGTTATTCCATTATCTTGACACGTGTAAGCATAGGCCCTAAACGTCTAGGAAACAGATGCCCCCCCCCGCCCCCCCACCCCGTCAGTGCCTCCTACCAGGGCTGGCGTCGCTGCCTTTCTTGGGGCTCAGCGGCACGGACGCCTGCTCGCTCGGCTCCTTCTCCTTGCCCTTCCGCCGAATGGGGCTGAGAGCAGGGGCGCTTGTCAGGGACGGCAGGGCTGCCTGGAACAGAGAGCAAGGACCTGGGAGTAAACCGCACAGAAACTGCAGCCTACAGCCCAGTGATGGCGAACCTATGACACGCATGTCAGAGGTGACACGCGAACTCATCGTTTTGGTTGATTTTTCTTTGTTAATTGTTTTACTATGGTTGCAAATATCAAATAATGTCTATATGTGACCCGGCACCAGAGTTAAGTTAGGGTTTTTCAAAATGCTGACACGCCGAGCTCAAAAGGTTCGCCATCACTGGGCTAGCCTATGGTTTTCCATTTATTGAAAAGCATCCACCCACAGAGTTCATCTTCTCTGCGAATCCACATTCAGAGCTCAGAAACTGCATAACCACGTCCATCAGCCAACCCCTCGCCCCATGCGGTGGGTGTGGACAGCCCTTCCTGACAGGCGTGCTGGGAACGTGGGACGGAGGGCCCTGGCGCCCGGCAGGACACCGCCCAGAGCAGCAGCGCCAGAGCGTTCTCCGGGAGCCACGTCTTAAACGCCCCTTCCCGGTGAGGAAGCAGGCTCGCGGGGGAGGTGACTGAGTGGAGGTCACAGCTGAGGGCACAGAGCTGGTGGCCCACAGACTGCGGAGGCCCCGGCTCCCAGGCTGCAGGGGGCAGCCCACAGGGGCAGTGAGGATGCCGACAGAGCCTGGACCCCAGGCCCCAGCTGGGCCCTCGCTCGGGATCTCAGAGAACTCACCGTGCACGTCAGCGTGAGGCCTGCAAAGCGGACGTGATGGCTGCGGGCAGGGAGGACTGAGGCAGTGGGAGGACTGGAGAGCAGCACAGACGACTGCCCTGGGAACACGCTAAGGGGAGGGGCCAGGCACGCAAGACACCGGTGTGACTCCATTTACATGTGGCCACAGGCACCTCCCCACTGAAATGGAAAGGCCTGGGGTTGCCGGGAGCCGGGGCCATGGAGGGCTGGAGGGTGACGGCTAAGGGCACAGCGTTCCTTTCTGGGCTCTAAAACTGACTGCAGTGGCGGCCAAGCGACTGTGGCACTGAAAGAGTGACCCGCACACTGCAGGGGGAGGGGCGGGGCGTGGATGACGCCAACTGCATCACATCAACATGCTGCTCTAAACACTGAGGCTGCCCTGACCGGTTTGGCTCAGCGGATAGAGCGTCGGCCTGCGGACTGAAGGGTCCCAGGTTCGATTCCGGTCAACGGCATGTACCTGGGTTTCGGGCACATCCCCAGTGGGAGGTGTGCAGGAGGCAGCTGATCGATGTTTCTCTCTCATCGTTGTTTTTAACTCTCCATCCCTCTCCCTTCCTCTCTGTAAAAAAATCAATAAAATATTTTAAAAAATAATAATAAATAAATAAATAAATAAATAAATCAAACACTGAGGCTGCTTCAGCCTCCGATGAGATGCTCTGCCCGCCTGGCCGGAGCAGTGGCAGTGAACAGAGGAAACAGTCTGTGTTCCTGCGTGTGTGCATGTGCATGTGCACATGTGTGTGTGTACAGGTACGTGCACACGTATAGGTACATGTATGTAAACAGTTTCTTGCGAGATACTTCGTAGGGAAAACAAAGGACTTGGGGGAGAATGAAGAGTTGCAATGACTCCCACGTGTCCAACTTTACAAAACACACAGTGAGCCCGGCCGGCGTGGCTCAGTCAGCTCAGTGGTTGAGCATCAACCTATGAGCCAGGAGGTCACGGTTCAATTTCCAGTCGGGACACATGCCTGGGTTGCAGGGTTGATCCTCAGTGGGGGGCGTGCAGGAGGCAGCCTACCAATGATTCTCTCTCATCATTGATGTTTCTCCCTCTCCCTCTCCCTCTCCCTCTCCCTCTCCCATCCTCCCTGAAACCAATAGAAACATTAAAAAACACACACGAAGTGAGAGGAGCGGGGCCGGCACAGACGGTGGGCCGCGCAGCTCCGGTGCAGCCAGGTCTGGGCTGGCTGTGAAGCGCCAGGCAGAAGTGCCGAGAGGCAGCAGACCACACGGGACTGGCGCCGCCAGGCCTCGGGCCTCTGATGCTTAGCTGCTGCCTGCTCCGCCTGCCCACACAAGGGCACTGTCTACACGTGGCTACTGAAGTGCAAACGCAATGACTGACATCAGAAGTCAGTACCCCCTGTGCACTGCCGATGGGAATGCAAATTGGAAAACATCAAAAACGGAGCTACCTTCTGACCCAGCAATTCTACTCCTGGGATACAGCCACGGAAACGCAAACACTATTGGAAAGGATATATACCCCTCTGTGCTCACCGCAGTTATTTACAGTAGCCAAGACATGGACACAGGCCCAGTGCCCACCTGCAGATGAGTGGATAAAAGCCGTGGTACGTGCACACAATGGAACATTACCCAGCTATTAAGGAGAATGAAATCCTACCATCTGCAGCAACATGGATGAATCTAGAGACTATGATGCTGAGTGAAATAAGTCAGACAGACAAAGACAAACACCATATGATTTCACTTATATGTGGAATCTAAAACACAAAATAAGTGAACAAACTCAAAGATAGAGAACAAAGTGATGGCTGCCAGAGGGGAGGGTGCCTGGGGGACCGGGTGGGAAAGGGGAGGGGCTAAGAAGTAGAGTTTGGTAGATCCAGACTGTCCAGGGACGTGAGGTTCAGCCGAGGGAATACAGGCAATGACACTGCAGTAACTATGCTTGGTGCCAGGTGGGGACAGAGTTATCAGGAGGATCACGTCATAAATTATAGAAATGTGCAACCACTGTAATTTACACCTGAAACTGATAGTGAACGTCAACTGTACTTGAAAAAAAGAAGTTCTGTTCCTTAGTCACAGTGGCTGCATGTCAAGGGCGCAGTAGCCACAGGTGGTGCGGGCCACTCTCCTGGCTGGCACAGATGTGGCACGTTTCCATGGTTACCGAGCATGATGCAGGGCAGAGCCCAGAAAGCATTCATGGTGGGCGAAGACCACACCTGGAACACGCCCGGAACAGAAGAGTCAGGGAAGCAAGAGCCAATCGGAAGCCAGGAGAGAATGTGCCAGGACAGGAACTGAGGTGGGGGGCGGGGGGACACAGGACCGAGAAGCACCCACGAGGTTCAAAGACTGACCTGGCAGGAGGGGCTGCCGGGGAACGTGTGGCACCAATCAGACCTGCGGCTAAGAATGGGTGTGGCGGTGACAGAGGCCAGGCAGCGCCCTCAGAGAGGCCAGTGTCAGGCCGTGCGGAGCAGGGAGCAGCAGACAGGGCTGCAGGGAGGTCGGCAGTGAGGAGAGCCTGAAGGCAGACGGGTCTGCTCGAGACGGAGACTGCGATGGAGAAGCAAGAGGGGACAGAGGCGCAGAGGAACCCACGTGGGAGAGCCGGCCGTTGGCCTGGAGGTGATTGTACTGACTGCTTCACAGAAAAGCACAGTGTTTGCCGACACGTCAGGAGAGAGCAGACGGACGTGCCAGCACTTGAAGCCTGGCTTTCTTGCTAACGAGGAACGCCCGCTACAGCTAGCTTTGCCCTCGGAGGCAACGGTACTTGAGGACGAGACCAGAGGCTACGAACTGGATCATGGCATTTTGTATGAAATTCTGAGTCACAACATGAGCAATCTTGTTCACTTAAAGCACAGAGTACGGGACAGACGGCTGGGCACACACAGGCACGCCTGAAGGCCAGTCGACGGCATGGCACGGGCCCGGGCACGAGGTTACCTTCCCCGCGGGTCCAGGCGCCACCTCGTCCAGCACGTGGGCGCAGATGTTGATCACCTTCAGCAGGTGGGAGAAGAGCTGCTCCACCATGGGCACCAGGCTCCGGTCCCCCAGCGCTGGCCACGCCTCCTCCTGCTTGGCGGCTGCTGGGGCGGCCTCTTCCTCGGCGGCCCATGAGCTTCTCAGAGATCGGGGGGCACTGGCTGTGATACAGGCACAGGTGTTACCTCCACCCCCGCGGCGTGCGGGAAACCCGTGGCAGTCAGACCCATCCACACGCACACCTCCACCTGACAGTCACTGATACCTCAAATCACCAGGAAACTGACATTTCCCCCAAAACATGCTCCCAATTTCCATGCCGGTCACCATCACACTCCCACCCAGAGTGGCAGTCACCCGAGGTGCGGCCCCGCCTGCGCTCGGCGCCTCCTGCGCCTGCACAGCACGTGGTGCTGGACTCGCTCTTCCCCGAACTACAACCTGAACCTCCCAGTTTCCCCCTCCTCCAACCCAGTCAGGGCGCGAGTGATCCTTCTAAACTACAGGAGGGCCAGGGAGGTTAGTACTACTACTACTAACGATTAATACAGCAATTAATCAATAATAACACAGGAATGCACTCTGTGATTTGCATACTCACAACTGTAAACCTACTTTTTTTGGTGATATTTTTTTAAATTTAAATTCCTTACTGTTGAAAGTATTACATGTCTCCTCTTCCCCCCATTGACTCCCCCTGGCTACTCACACCCCCTAACACATGCCCTCACTGTCTGTGTCCACGGGTTATGCTTATATGCATGCATACAAGTCCTTTGGTTGATCTCTTACCCACCCCCCCTTACCCTCTCCTGCCTTCTCTCTGAGATGCTTCTCTGTCTCTATTTTTGTCCATCAGTTTATGTTGTTCATTATATTCCACAAATGAGTGATATCATGTGATATTTATCTTTCTCTGACTGGCTTATTTCACTTAGCATAATGCTCTCCAGTTCCATCCATGCTGTTGTGAATGGTAAGAGCTCCAGCTCCATCCATGCCGTTGCAAATTGTAAGAGTTCCTTCTTTTTTACAGCAGCATAGTATTCCATCGTGTAGATGTACCACAGTTTTCTAATCCATTCATCTACTGATGGGCACTTAGGCTGTTTCCAGATCTTAGCTATGGTGAATTGTGCTGCTATGAACATATGGGTGCATATATCCTTTCTGATTGGTGTTTTTGGTTTCTTGGGATATATTCCTAGAAGTGGGATCACAGGGTCAAATGGGAGTTCCATTTTTAGTTTTTTGAGGAAACTCCATACTGTCTTCCATAGTGGCTGCACCAGTCTGCATTCCCACCAGCAGTGCACAAGTGTTCCTTTTTCTCCACATCCTCTCCAGCACTTGTCGTTTGTTGATTTGTTGATGATAGCCAGTCTGACAGGTGTGAGATGGTACCTCATTGTTGTTTTGATTTGCATCTCTCGGATGATTTGTGACTTTGAGCATGTTTTCATATGTCTCTTGGCCTTCTGGATGTCCTCTTTCAAAAAGTGTCTATTTAGGTCCTTTGCCCATTTTTGATTGGATTGTTTTATCTTCCTTTTGTTAAGTTGTATGAGTGCCCTATAAATTTTGGAGATTAAACCCTTATTGCAGATAACATTGGCAAATGTGTTCTCCCATGCAGTGGGCTCTCTTGTTGTGTTGTTGATGGTTTCTTTTGCTATGCAGAAGCTTTTTATTTTGATGTAGTCCTATTTATTTATTTTCTCCTTAGTTTCCATTGTCCTAGGAGATATAGGGGTAAAGATGCTACAATATATGTCTGATATTTTGCTGCCTATGGATTCTTCTAAGATTTTTATGGTTTCCCGTCTTACATTTAAGTCTCTTATCCATTTTGAGTTTATTTTTGTGTATGGTATAAGTTAATAGCATAGTTTCATTTCTTTGCATGTATCTGTCCAATTTTCCCAACACCATTTATTGAAGAGACTGTCTTGACTCCACTGTATGCTCTTGCCTCCTCTGTCAAATATTAATTGAGCATAATGACTTGGGTCGATTTCTGGGTTCTCTGTTCTGTAAACCTACTTTTGAACAGAGCATATTCTTGTATTATTTATTACTAACTAGAGGCCCGGTGCACGAAATTTGTGCACGGGAGGGGGGTGGGTCCCTCAGCCCAGCCTGTACCCTCTCGCAATCCGGGACCTTTTGGGGGATGTCCGACTGCCGGTTTAGGCCTGATCCCACAGACATCCCTCTCACAATCTGGGACTGCTGGCTCTTAACTGCTCGCCTGCCTGCCTGATTTCACCCCTAAAACTCAAGCTTCTTCTTTTTTATTTTTAATATTTATATTTCTTCTTATTTATTTTAAAATTCAAGCTTCTTGAGAACATGAGGCGTTTAACATTATTCCATATTCCTTACAGAGAGCTAAGCATGGTAAACACAGCAAATACTTAATACTTATGGCTTCTATACAAACACTTTCCACCAGGCATGTTTTAATAGGCAGTCTCCAAACACTTGAACTGTAAAACCTAAAAGCAGAGCACTCAGATTTCAGGCATCAGGTGCTACTAGCAGGATTTCTATCCCAATTCAACTCTAGTTCTGAGCGCTCAACAGTCGGTACAAACGGCCTTCACTAGCTCCAAAGTTTGTGTGTGTGTTTGTGATTCCAAAATAGAGGTTTATTTACTAAGAGTTATTTAGTGTTTGCATAAAAATCACCAGTTGTTCCTCATTGGGTTTTTAACACACATGAATTCTTTGGGGGGCCCCTCTATCACCCCAACACTTTCAAAATACAGCTCTTGTGAGTGCCAGGAGGGACAGTTACGGCAGCGAGGTGTTCCTTGGGTCTCGGCATCGGGAGGGTTGTGGCCTCCCCTCTGAGAGAACACACGTGATGGGTAGTTTCTTAGGTGGGTAGGCTGTCCCTGAAGGAAACACTTATGCAGAAGAATGCAAACTCAGTCATCTGGGTCAGTTCCTCATACCTGATAGCTTTGAAATACAGTCCCCTTGGTCAAGGTCATCAAAGGCTTGCTGGTTGTTTTCAACTATAAAAAACTGTCGGGAAAAAGACAGTAGGAAGAGCAGGGTCTATGCTGACAGTGCTGTGAGGCTGGGCTGTGCAACCACAGGAGCACACAGCAGTCTGCTTTAAAAAAAAATCCTGTATAATTTCAAATCCGACTCCTTGTGGGCCTTACATGGCCTGAAACATCTCTGCACCAGATCCTCATTTTTAAAATGAGGTGTATGACAGGGCTTCCCCAGGCTCACACACCACGTGCGGGGACAGGGACAGAAAACCCTAGGACTTGACTTATTAGCAACATTAACTGATTTTCATCGCACTGAAATGAAGGCAGTCGGTCTGTGCTGCTGTGAAATTAAAGGTGACGCAGAAGAGGGTGGTAATTTATTGCTCCGTTAGGATAGACCCCAAAAATGACTTTTCAGAAACCAGGGCTGTCCCCTGCAACCCCAGCCAGACTCTGGGCCGCTCTGGGGGACGCAGGCCACGGCGGCCTCCGCTGCTTCACAGTGACTCTGGCTGGTCTGTGCCTGGGAGTGCCGGCCGGGGGCACGCCTACACCTTGTAGTTGAGCTCGGCGTTCATCTTGGTGTACATCTCGTAGATGACGTCGATGGTGGCCGTGTAGTTGACCAGGAACAGGCGGACCTTCTCCAGGCACTCCTCCTCCATCACGTTCTGGCCCTTAGAGAGTGCTTTCAGGAAGTCAGACTTGTAGGGCGCAGCATATAGCGCTGCCTGGAAGATCTTCTGCACGATCCAGCCGTGGTACTTCTTGAGCGCCATTTCCTAGGCCTTGGTGGCGTTGACGCGGATGAGGTTGGGGTGGCTCTCGTCCCGCTCCCCGTCGCAGATGCTCTGCAGGAAGACCTAGGTGAAGCGGAGGCCCCTTTTCAGCCACATCAGCGCCAGCGTGGCCCCCACTTTGGGCCACTCTGCTCCATCCGTTTCCTTTTGCGCCTCCAGGATGTTCTGCAGGGTCTGGAACTCGGCCGGGTCGGTGTTGTACACAGCTTTGATTTTCGTGATGTTACCACTTATGTCTGCCTTGATGGGCGTAAACACTGGGGACCCAAGGCAATCGAAGAAGGGTGGCAGGTGGGACACCGCCTCCAGGAAGGGCCCGGTCTCAATCTGCTTGTCCGAGGGCAGCGGCTTCAGCAGGTGCTCGGCCAGCAGCACCATTTCAGGGTTGAGGCCGGCAGTGATGCCGTTTTCTAATCGGATCTTCCTCTTCCTTTCCCAGCACACTCCACACCTACTCCAGATGGACCACCCCAACCCCACAGACCCTTAAGACCTTCCCCTCTATTTCTTTGACTTTCCCTCATCAAACTTGCACCCTATCGTGTTGCCTAGGGGCGCCCCTAACCGCTACCTGGGGGGTGGAGCCAGCCCGGCGAGGGGCCATGGTGGTTCTGGTCTAATGATCATTATGGTCATGATGGCATTACAGCCGCTGGCTTTTTATGTATTACAGATTATTGTCTTAATTAGCAGTAGTGACCTATGCTTGCCCACCCGCCCTAATTCACCTGTTGGTCCCGTTCACGAAGCTCCCCAATGGCCTCCACAGCAAGCAGGACCAGTCCTCCTGTGGACGCTGGGGGCCCCACACCACTGATTTCAGCCACATTCTCCATCCTAGTCCTCGTCCCTACATCCAGTCTTCAGCTGTCACACCATTTTTCACGTCTCCAGGCCTTTGCACATGCTGTGCCCTCCATCACGTGCCCTTTCCTGCCAGCCCATAAGAAGTCTTGTTTCCGTCCTAAGGGCAGTGATTGCGGCCACTCTGTGCTGCCACTGCCCTTCAGTTCCACGTGGCCCCTAATCTGCATTGGACGTGAGAACGGAGCCCACACATCGTACTTTCTTACCACCCAGTTGCTGAGACAGTGCCTGGCCCATGTGCCCCTAAACTGAAATGAGAAAGGAGCCTGCCTGTGCCTCTCGCAGGGGCCAGACTGGGAAAGGGCTCCATTGGGACACTGGACACAGACTAGCTGCCGACAGCACACGCCGACAGCGGACACCTGCGCACGCGGTCACGTCTGACGCCAGGAACAAGCTGTCGCTGGCAGCGACCTCGGTGCTCTTCCCTCATGTGCTCGCTGCCCTGCCCCTCACAAGGAAATCGAAAGCTAAAGACCGAGGTCTCTGTTTCAACTCAGAACCAATACCTGCAAGCAAGTTTCCGGCCAAGATCAAGGCATCCTGATGGGCTGCGAGGTCCAATGGGAACCACGCGGACGAGAGCAGGGTCAGGATCACCGAGGCCATCCCGACAGTACAGCTCTTCCTGGACTCGTCCAAGGCGCTCAGAGGGGGCACTCTGGGGGCAGATGTGTGCGAGGTCACGTTACAGAAACATTTTAAAGCAAACGGTCTTTTAAAAATTTCATTGATTATTTTAGAGAGCAAGGAAGGGGGGGAGAGAGAGGGAAATATCAATGTGAGAGTAAAACATCCATCAGCTGCCTCCTGCACACCCCCTACCGAAGATCGAACCTGCAACCCAGGCACATGCCCTGCCAGGGAACCGGACTGGCAACCTTTCAGTTCATGGGATGATGCCCAACCAACCGAGCCATTCTGGTCAGGGCTAAAGCAAACAGTCTTGCTTCCCTTCTGAACCAAGAAGGCCCGTCACTGTCCACTGCACACCAGCTCAGAAAGGGACCTTACAATTAACTGGCATCTTTCCTGTGAACCACAGCTCTGCAAACACCATCTGAGAGATGAAAGCGGGTAGCCGAGCTGATCAAAAGCATTTTGGTAACTTTTAACTCTTTCACCTCTGAGTTAGCACTTGCACTGGCTTCGGCACCGAGTGCAAGGGCAGAAGCCAGATGCTGGGTCTGGGACTAGAAACTGCAGTTGCTCGGAGGTACTTGTTGCAGGAAATGGTCACTCCAGACGGGAGAGCGCCCTGCATGTGGGCAAAGCTCCCTGGCCGTGCGCTGGCACACGATGGGCGAGTTGACTTCCCAGCATGACGTGGGCGTCCGTGCGGAACAGCAGCTCCCTCACTCCGCTGCTGGGAAAGCCCGCAGGGCGCACGCTAGACACCCCGCGGCTGCAGCACAGCATTCCTCCGCCCACTCCTGCGGCCATCACACTTCCGCAGTGGGTCACGTTAGATTTTACACAAAAAATGCTCCTACATGCTCAACACGTAGTGGATAATTCTAAGGAGAAGCGCAGCTAGAAGTCTCTTGGCCCAGAAGGGCAAAGCGTGTATCATCCTGAACACCAAGAGGTTCAGGCCGATCCCTGGTCGGGTGTGTATGGGAGGCACCCCATCACGTCCATGTTTCTCCCCCCCCCCCCCCCCCCCCCCCCCCCCCCCTCTTTTCCACTCTCTCTAAAAAAACGAACCCTCGGTGAGGATAAGAAAAGGAAGTCTTCTGCCAGCACAGGGGGTTCCTGTAGCTGAGCCTCCACACGCTGAGGAGCGAGCCTGACGCCCATGACTGGGACCAGCTCGGTGCTGCCCAGCAGCTCCTGCCACCGCCCCCAACACCAACAGCACAGAACAAGCACCTGTGGGGGCGTCTCCCACAGGCCCAGGCCATAAAGGAATCACAGCAAAGAACCAACAGGGCCCCAGTGAGGATGTTCCTATCCCGTACTGTGGACGCCACGGGCCGAGAAACACTTACCCACAATGCCAGCCTAGACTCCAAGTGCAGACCGGGAAGGCGGTTGAGAGGAGACACAGAGCTTCACAGCATCCGAACTGAAGAGGAAGGATAATGAAATCACCAACACAGAAAGCTTCCTTCAACCCAGCCTCCTTCCTCCCACGCTTCATACACGCACAACGAGGTTCATGTCTACCGCCGGGATAGTGGGCCAGGCCGGCAGGCCCTTCGCGTAGAGCTGCAGTTGTCTTGGCCGCCCCCTGCCTGCACAGCCCCCAGCCCTCCCCCTCCCCCTGCCTGCACAGCCCCCAGCCCTCCTGACACACGGAGGCCACAATAAGTACAAACATATAACATTTATGATATTCTGAACAAATCAAAGGAAAACGAAACTGGAGAGCCCACACGATCTTATGTCTGAAAGGCAAGTCCAGGCTGATCAGGACTCATCATGAGTTCCCACGGCAAGGAAGCTCTGCGTCTGTCTCTTCAGGGAAAGGACCAGGTCTGACCTGCTCACCAGCAAAGGGACACTACCTCTGAATAATACTTTTTCCTGATGATAAAAGTTACCTTTTTTTGTTTTAGAAAATTTGTGATACCTGAAAAATTTAAAGAAAAATCACTCATCCTAAATAAATTTTGGCAATTTTCTGCCTGTCATTTTCCCGAGTATGAGAAACATATATCCTATATAATAAAAGGGTAACAAGCAAATAGACCGAACAGCAGAACAATTGAACAACCAATCAAAGTGTAATATGCTAATGATATGCTAAGGCTGCTCAACCGCTCGCTATGACATGCACTAACCACCAGGGAGCAAACAGTCGACTGGTCGACCAGTCGCTATGATGTGCAGTGATCACTAGAGGGCAGATGCTCCAACCAGTAGGCTAGCTGGCTGCTGGGGTCCAGCTGATCGGGACTGAGTAAGATGGCCAGACATGCCCTGGAGCCCTCCCGCGGTCCCTCCCCAGCCCAATCATGCACCAGTGGGGTCCCTCAGCCTGGCCTGTGCCCTCTCGCAATCCGAGACCCCTCGGGGGATGACAGAGACCGGTTTCAGCCCGATCCCACAGGCCACTGCCCTTGGGAGGGCGCCAGACGCAGGGCTCATGGCTGGTGAGCGCTGCTGTGGCAGCACGAGCCTCTCCTGATGGGACTGATTGGGCGCGAGCCCGCGGCAGGAACAGTGGGCTGGGATGAAAGGGGGCAGCAGGTAAGAGCTGCAGGCAGTGTTGGACTGCGGGTTTCGGCCCGATCCCTGCAGGCCACCCAGAGGGACCCCACCCATGCACGAATTCGCGCACCAGGCCTCTAGTCTACATAATAAATGCCTAAGTGACTGTCACAGCGGAAAGACCAGAACGACCGGTCGCTATGATGCGCACTGACCACCAGGGGCAGATGCTCAACGCAAGAGCTTCCCCCTGGTGGTCAGTGCACTCCCACAGGGGGAGCGCCGCTCAGCCAGAAGACAGGCTCATCTCCCTGAGGTGAGGGGGAAGGGTGGGGACTGTGCAGGCAGGGGGAGATGAGTGATTTTTCTTTTAAGTTTTTTAGGTGAGCGCAGTGGTGGTGGTGAGAGCCTCTCCTGCCTCCACAGCAGTGCGAAGGAGCAGCAAGCCGAGCGTGAGAGGTAAGGAACAGCGAGCAACCAGGAGGTAAGGAGCGAGGGGTCCTGGACTGTGAGAGGGATGTCCGACTGCTAAGCCGGCAGTCAGACATCCCCTGAGGGGTCCCGGATTGCGAGAGGGCACAGGCTGGGCTGAAAGACAACCCCCCACAGTACACAAATTTCGTGCACCAGGCCTCTAGTATATATATATATATATGTTAATATTTCTCAAAACTTGGATCTGACTACACACAAGCATGCAGTTTAGAATTGTGCCTTTTTTCACTCAATATTACAATTCAGGTTATATCTCTATAAACTTTTGAAAGTTCTCCAAGCATCATATTAATAGGTGCATAATAAATGCACTACCATCTACACTGAATTTAGTCATAATCAGAACTCAATCATTCTTGGATTCTGGGATATTATGGTTCATTTCCAATTCCAGCATCATAAATCCTGATAAAAATAATTACATTATACAAAATCCTTGTTGGTATATCTGGTTTTTACCCCTTAGTATATACTACAAAGTCTCTGAGTCAGTTATACGAGAGACAGTTTAAACTTCTGAGAAAACCCATTCAAATTATGGTAGTTTTTATTTTGACTTTTATGTCTTCCTGTGTTGGCTGAATTTCTTACAATGAGCATTTGCTACTTTAATAATCAGAACGAAGTTGTGTATATTCCTATTGAAATAAACCAAGGTTTTGTCCAAAGAATCACAACTTCTTAGGAAGCCCCACATATGAGTCTAGCATCATCTCACCATTAAGAGCTAACCTGCCCTGGCCGGTTTGGCTCAGTGGACAGAGCATTGGCCTGCAGTGTGAAGGGTCCCGGGTTCAATGCTGATCAAGGACACATGCCCAGGTCGTGGGCTCGATCCCCAGGAGGGGGCATGTACGAGGCAGCCGACCCATGATTCTGTCTCATCATGGATGTTTCTATCTCTCTCTCTCTCTCCCTCTCTCCCTTCCTCTCTGAAATCAATAAAAATATATTTAAAAAACAAAAAAGAACTGACCTATGGTCCTGGTCAGTGGCTCGGTGGTTAGAGCGTCAGCCCTCACACCAAAGGGTCCTGGGTTTGATTCCCAGCCAAGGGCACGGACTTGGGTTGTAGGTGTGACCCCCGACCCAGTTGTGGCGCAGAGGCAACCAATCCATGTGTCGCTCTCTCTCTCTTCCCCCTTCCCTCCCTTCCATTCTCTCTAAAAATCATTGGAAAATATATCCTTGGATAAGAATTAACAACAACAAAAAAGAACTGACCTTACAAAGGAGTAAAAATGAATCTCATTACGCGCGGCCACCGAAGGCGACTCACCGTGAGCGCGCGCGTGGTGGCCGTGACCAGCTGGTGGGACACGGCCGCAATGACTCTGGACAGGTTGTTTTCCATGGTGACATCTGTGATACTTGGCAGTAAGTTATAGCCTCTATATATTCTGATAAGAAAAGGATGGAGACTTAAAGGTATTCTTAGAGCTCATGACATTTACAAAACTCAGATGGCATTTAGAAGTTTAAGATTAAAGGCTACAAGAAGTTAAAGCAGTCTTGGCTTTAAAGTTAAAGAAAGACTGGAAATAAGGTGGTCATCCTATTTAATAAAAGCCTAATATGCTAAGTGTCTGATTGTCCAGTTGGCCGTTCAACCAATCAAAGCGTAACATGCTAATGATATGCTAAGGCTGCTCAACCGCTTGCTATGATGTGCACTGACTACCAGGGGGCAGAGAGTTGACCGGTCAACCAGTTGCTATGACGTGGACTGACCATCAGGGGGCAGACGTTCCAACCAGTAGGTTAGCTTGCTGCTGGGGTCTGACCAATCAGGACTGAACGAGACAGGCCGGACATGCCCTGGAGCCCTCCCACGGTCCCTCCCCGGCTGACCAACCTCTTGTGTCCCTCCCCAATCGGTCCCTCGGCTTGGCCTGCTCTCTCTCGCAATCCAGGACCCCTAGGGGGATGTCAGAGAGCTGGTTTTGGCCCGATCCAGCAGGCCAGGCCGAGGGACCCCACTGGTGCACGAATTCGTGCACTGGGCCTCTAGTTATTCTATAAAAAATGGCTGAGCCCTGGCAGGTGCGTCTCAGTTGTTTGAAGCTTCGCCCCATACACCAAAAGGTGGCGGGTTCAACTCCTAGTCAGGGCACACACCCAGATTGCAGGTTCCATCCCTGGTCGGGGACGCATGCGGGAGGCAACTGATCGATGTGTGTCTCTCTCACATCACTGTTTCTCTCTCTTCTCTTCTCTTTTCTCTTTGTCTTTTTCTCTCTCTCTTTCTCTCCCCTCTCCCTCCCTCCCTTCCACTCTCTTTAAAAATCAATGGAAAAAATATCCTCAGGTGAGGATTACCAAAAAAATAAATAAAAATAAGTAAATAAATAGCCCACTCATATAAAAATTAATGGGCACAGGCAAGACAAACAAAGTGAAACATTCCACGGACACGTTTTAGATAAGACAGCATCAGAGTCCTACAGAGGAATACACTGAGTACGTGGCTCGTACTGAACCAAAGGTTACGGTGTCACTTCTGTGTGACTCAGCAGAGCTTAAGGAGGCGGGAGCTAAATCCTGAAAAAGAACAAATACTATCAAAGGAAGATGATCTGCTCAAACACCTGCACCTAAACATTTTGGGGTTTTCGTCCTAGAAAATCCAGTTTAGATGAAAGCCCTAGAGCAAGGCACCAGGAAAGGGCGCTTTCCCGACGGGCTTGGTCGCGTACCTGGTTATGGTGCTGACGGAGAAGTGGGAGGCGGGCTGCGCCTCGTGCATGAGAAGCTTCAGGTAAACACTGCTCTGGTCTCTGGCCATGGCCACGACGGGGTCCGCCTGCCCTTGGTCGCACTTATAGAACAGCTTGGGGACAAGCCTAACATGAAAGCGAGGTGTTCACTGGAGGAAGCATGGACACCCGCCTGCGGCTCCCCACCCGTCAAGGTGGCAGGCCTCCATCGCCGTCCGCCCGCGAAGCCCACTGCACTTTCCAGGCGTGTGCTCCCTAGCATGTTGGGGGTCTCCAACCACAGGCCACCCCTCGCCAAGCTACGCTGAGCCCAAAGGCAGAATCCGGGGGACTCTCCCAGTGGAGCAGGGGGGCTCCTTCCTGCACCCACGTGCGGAGCGTTTTGTGGGTTTCCGTGAGTGCGTGGACTCCCACACTGGCAGGAGGGGTGCAGAACTTTCAGAAACAATCACTATTTTACTTGCAAACCCCTGTATCTTTCCTCTATGGAGACTTGGCCATTCAGCACAATTTTCAAGGTATAAAACTGCAATCGTTTTCAGAAAACGGTAAAGATCCAAAATCTTTGACCAGGCAAGTCATACAAACCCAGTGAAGCCAGTGAAAAGCTACACCTCCCAGGGCATCACGAAATGCAAACGCCAGCACTGGAAGCGGAAAGATGTCACCACATTTAACTGGTTTTCTGAGTGGTTTGATTACAAGAATTTTTATTCACTTTTTTGTATTTTCCTTAGATTTTGTTGAGTAAACGTGTTATTTTTAAAAAGAAATACCAATTTCTTCCTAAACAACTGACACATGTTTAACTTGTCTGAAATATGTTTGGTGAGCAGAACGAGGCACAACCACAGTCCGCATGGGAGTTAACGGGCCTGCTGCAGAAAGCACCCACCCACAGAAGCCCACCGCCAGGACCCACCCAGGAGAATGAAAACTAAGTCCACGCAAAGCCTCGCGGGCAGATGCTCACGGCAACATGACTCATCGTCACCCAAAAGGGGAAATAACAACGACCACCCTCTGGTGAGCGAGTGCACAGAGCACAAGGGTCCCTGCGAGGCTGCTCCTCAGCACCTGCTGCAGCACCTGCCCCTCAAACCCAAGCGAGAGGCGCCAGGGCAGCAGCCCGCCTGTCGTCCGGCCGCGTTGACAGAAGCAGCCCCAGAGGCCACCCTCCGGAGGCAGGACGCAGGCTCCTGGCTGCCTGGCTGCGGTGGGAACGGGGAGCTTGCAAATGGGCACAAGGGATCCTTGCAGGCCATGGAATGTTCTACAACTGGACTGTGGTGATGGCTACACAGTCCGAAAATGAGCTGAAGATCTTTCCATTGTACATGTAAGATGCGTGTACTTCAAGGCATGTAAATTATACCTCAAAAAGCTATTAGAAAAAATTTAAGAGCATCCCAAAGCTTGGCCTTAGTAACTCAACTTCCAAAAATTATGCAGAAGCGTTTGTGTGGCAATGCTGACTGGAAGGAACACTGCTCATTATTTAAATGGAAGACAGCTTCACCCTGGCTGGTGTCGCTCGGCAGGTGGTGTCGCTCCGACACCAAAAGGTCACAGGTTCTGTTCCTCGTCAGGGCACACACCCGGGTCGTGGGTGTGATTACCGGTTGGGATTCAGGCAGGAGGCAACTGATTGATGTTTCTTTCTCTCCCTCTCCCTCTCTCCCTTCCTCTCTTAAAAAAAAAAATCAATTGAAAAGAGAAAGATAACTTTAATATACAACTAAATAATATTTATATAAAGGCTTATCACAATCACATAGTAAAAACTGGCACCAGTTAAAATTTCTCTTCTAGAAGAGTATCTGATAACAGGAAATTGCTAATATTTAAGTGGAAATTACTAGATTACAAAGCTCTATATATTTTGTTCCAATTACAGAGCAAAATGTTAACAGCCATCATCTCCAAGCGGCAGAACTGACGGTGATTTTCACTTCCTTCCTAGCGCCATTCCCTATATTCAAAAATTCGGGAGTGCAACTTGGCCTCGGGGTCAGTGTCCTGCTGTGCCGACGACGTTTTAGGCTCGTGGCAGTGAGTAACTTCTTTCCTGATAACTGAGGAGCAGCTGGAAGTGACGGAATACTGCCCTCTGGCCCAGAATGTTCCCCGGCCCCCTCCTCATAACATCGGTGCTTTCGCCAGAAAAGTAACCGAAGGGAAAAGACGCTGGCAAATACCTCACTAACGACGCGGCGGCCACGTGTCGCACTCTGGGGTCTTCATCCCCCAGCAGGTGGAGGACCACGCTGTGGAGCACCCGCTCTTGCAGCTTCAAAAGCTTTGAGAGAGAAAAGAGACCGGCTATGTCCCGAGGGTTCGGCCAGCTGCTGGGGAGGGCGGTGAGGAAGAGCTCGCGGTCGTGCATCACCGCCGGCAGGAAGCCGCCGCAGCCCGGGCAGCATGCACCCGCGACTCCCCGCGGGAACGTGCTTACCCCTGTGTAATGGTGCGCCCCTCTGTGCAGGTGTTCTGCTTTTGCTTCCAAAAAGCTCACCAACCTGACGAAAGAAACGTTTCACGGTGAGCACCCATCCCTCCACAAGCACCTCTGGCGGCGGCGGCGAAAAACGACAGGCCCACCGCGAGGGCAGGCCGCGGAGGCGGGGAGCCGGCAGCACCCACTAAATGGTGTCACATCCTCTCCTAATTCCAGACTCCGCCCATCAGATGTGCTGAGAAAATGCTTCTCTTCAAAGGCAACACGAGCGTGCATTATTTTAAGACTCCAGGGCCTGCAGAGTTAGCTCAAATGTGGGAACTGTGGGCAGGGGCCAGCAGGTGCTCACGCCCATGCTGTGGCCCCTCTGAGGGGTACAGGAGAGACAACCCCTAATTCTCAGAGATGTTCTGAGGAGGCAGCAAATGCCCGCAGAGGGCGCCAGCACGCGCCTGGCACAGACCAGCCTCTAGTCCAGCGGTTCTCAGCCTGTGGGTCGCGACCCCTTTGGTGGTCGAAGGACCCTTTCACAGGGGTCGCCTAAGACCATCCTGCGTATCAGATATTTACATGACGATTCATAACAGTAGCAACATGACAGTGATGAAGTAGCAACGAAAATAATTTTATGGTTGGGTCACAACATGAGGAACTGTATTTAAAGGGCCAGAAGGTTGAGAACCACTGCTCCAGACGGTGCTTAAAAAGTCCCTGGTAAGAAAAGAAACATTCTCTCTGGCAGAAAACCCACACTCCTCCGGGACGCGAGAAACTGCAGCCCATCTGATCAAGTTCACGCTCCACACCAAGCAGCCTCTGACCCAAGTCTGGGGCAGTGGGGAGCACGCTCTAAGGACCGGCACTGACACGGCTCTGGCGTGAAGTCACCCTTCCACTCCATCAGACGCTTCAAGGCCGGAGACCCCGGCACTGCACTCGCTGCGCGGAGGGTCTGAGCGGGGCCGAGCGCAGACGGAGCGAAGCACTGTCAGCTCTAAGCCCCTCGGTTTCTGCCGCACAGGTGACCGGCCTCGCTCACTGCCAGGGCTGACCTGGTGACTCTCAGAACCTAGGAGCTACCTGATGATCCTCACCACCCGCTTCCCTGGTGACTCGACACCAGGTTAGCTAGTGACGCTCACTATCTGGGCTCGCTGGTAACCATCACCACCTGCACCAAGGGCCCAGCCTTTGGAGGCCCTGCGCCCTGTGAGGGGCCTGCTGCGCGCACCTGAAGTCCGTCTCTGCGAGTGTCTCCAGCAGCTCCGTCCTCACCAGCCAGTAGGAGCTGCTCCTCAGGCTCAGCACGTCGGTGATCAGCTGCAGCCCCAGGTCGCTGTAGCTGCTGCTACAGAGGCTCATGACACAGTGCTGGAAAGCAAGGCCGCGTGACAGCGTCAGAAGCTCCACACACTTGCACACACTGGTCCACGTGCACATCACGTGCACACACCAGTCCACACGCACATCACACGCACACACTGGTCCACGTGCACATCACTCACCCATACTGGTGCACGTGCACATCACTCACCCATACTGGTGCACGTGCACATCACTCACCCATACTGGTGCACGTGCACATCACTCACCCATACTGGTGCACGTGCACATCACTCACCCATACTGGTGCACGTGCACATCACTCACCCATACTGGTGCACGTGCACATCACTCACCCATACTGGTGCACGTGCACATCACTCACCCATACTGGTGCACGTGCACATCACTCACCCATACTGGTGCACGTGCACATCACTCACCCATACTGGTGCACGTGCACATCACTCACCCATACTGGTGCACGTGCACATCACTCACCCATACTGGTGCACGTGCACATCACTCACCCATACTGGTGCACGTGCACATCACTCACCCATACTGGTGCACGTGCACATCACTCACCCATACTGGTGCACGTGCACATCACTCACCCATACTGGTGCACGTGCACATCACTCACCCATACTGGTGCACGTGCACATCACTCACCCATACTGGTGCACGTGCACATCACTCACCCATACTGGTGCACGTGCACATCACTCACCCATACTGGTGCACGTGCACATCACTCACCCATACTGGTGCACGTGCACATCACTCACCCATACTGGTGCACGTGCACATCACTCACCCATACTGGTGCACGTGCACATCACTCACCCATACTGGTGCACGTGCACATCACTCACCCATACTGGTGCACGTGCACATCACTCACCCATACTGGTGCACGTGCACATCACTCACCCATACTGGTGCACGTGCACATCACTCACCCATACTGGTCCACGTGCACATCCCGCGCACACACTGGTCCACGTGCACATCACTCACCCACGCTGGTCCATGTGCACATCACACGCACCCACTGGTCCACGTGCACATCACTCGCACATGCTGGTCCATGTGCACATCACGCGCAGACACTGGTCCACATGCACATCACACGCACACACTCGTCCATGTGCACATCACGTGCACACACCGCTCCATGTGCACACACTGGTCCCCGTGCACATCACTCACCCACGCTGGTCCACGTGCACATCACTCGCACACACGTGTCCATGTGCAACTCGCACACAATGGTCCATGTGCACCTCACTCACACACACACAATGGTCCACGTGCACCTCACACACACACTGGTCCATGTGCACTCACACACATACTGGTCCATGTGCACCTCAGTCGCACACACTCATCCATGTGCAACTCACTTGCACACAATGGTCCACGTGCACCTCAGTCACACACACTCGTCCACATGCAACTCACTCGCACACAATGGTCCACGTGCACCTCGCACGCACACACTGGTCCACGTGCTCAGAGACATTTGCGATACATGCTTTACTTCAGCAAACTTGCGTTTTGAAGTGTGTCCCTGTCACATAACTTAGTTTTCCTTTTCCTCCCATTTCTGCCTCAGTCACAGCCTCTCCTCCCAGACACCCATCCCATGAACACGCATCAGCAGTACGAGGGAATGGCACCATCACCCGCCACTTCCCACACATCTGAGACCCAGGGCCAGCCCCGCCCCTCACGCTTCCCGATGTCACTGTGTACCTCACAGTTCGGCTGGTGACGGGCTGGGGTGACTATGAACCAGGTGGGCGGAAAGGCTGCACAGCTGCCAGGCCAAGGACGGGGCCTGCCACTTGTCACAGACAGAGGTGACTAACGGCCTCCAGCCTCACTCTAACTGTGTGTCCCACGGCCTCAACGAGTTGTCATTTTTAATTCAACAGCTTTGACACTTATGTTAGCAAGATCTTTTTCTAAATACGCTCTTAGGAAAAAGGTATATTTCAAACCAGCTAACCCCATGAGAATATTCTGAGAATCAAAACTTTTAAAACAGTCCATTAAACCGTAAGTTTATCGGCAATGGTTTATTCCTTAAGCAAAGTGATGGATACACAGACGTTTATTCTTGTTTGCAACGCTGCATGTCTGGACACGTGCAATCTTAACTGTACTAATGGTAAGGTTCCCAACACGCACAGGGGGGTCCAGAGCGCTCACCCGCACAGCTGCACACGCCAACTTGCAAGTAACAGATGACTCATCCTTCAGCGTTTTCCGCAGCAAAGGAACGCAGTCCACCAGAGAAAACGCGTTTCCTGAACAGAGCAAGCCACAAACACCTGCGTGTGAACTTGAACTTGGCAATGACACCCAGAGGGCAACCCTCAGAAACTGGCCGCTACCTGTGCGAGCTCGAACGGAGCCCAGCCAGTCCCCCACCTGGAAGCGGGACCTGCTGAGGATGGAGCAGACGAGCGTCCCGCAGAGGATGGCCGTGGCCCCGCGCACCTGCGGGTCTCCGTGATCGATGTAGCCGAGGACGTCCGAGACGTACTGCTCCTCTGCGGGGACAAACGCCAGCCACCGTGAAAGTCCACTTCAACTTCCCACCAAAGACAACAAGGGGCGGGCGACCCACCCAGACAAGGCCTGACGAGGGTAACCTGCGGGCAGCGTGTTTAGGCCTGAAAATTCTACATTCAAGGCAGCAGTCAACACAACCGGTTAGAATTCCAGGTTGTCAGCCAATAAGCAAAATTCTAATTGTTTCCTTCATGAAAGGTGAGAAAAACTCAAACGAGTCCACAGTTACCTCACATGAATTCAAAAGCACAGGTCTGTCCCCGCGCCCAGAGAGCGAGCAAGGGAAGCGAGAGGGAGTGTCAGAGGGCACTCTTCCCACCATCACGCCGTAACGAGTACTTCCAGAGCGTGCGCGGGACCGGGTCAGCGGGGCCTCGGCCGCTCTCAGCCTGCACGTCTGAGTGTGAACATCTGCTCAGCGGGACTGTGCTATAAATTCTGATTACATACTAATCTGGGCTTTCGGTAAAAATCTACATCATCAACTAGATCGTGTGTTCCCAGAACTCTACTGTGCTGCTGTGTGCATTCCCACTGGGCGCCACGAGGAAGGCTCTGACCCTGCGGTGTGTGCTGTGTGGAGAGCCCCTCACGGATGGAAGCCCCGCGAACGCAAGAAACCCGCTGTCCTGCCCTAAAGCAGTCGGGACGGGAAGCAGTCTTCCAGGGAACGGCAGGCGCGGGCGCGGGCGCGAGCAG